TGAGCTGTGGGGATGGCCAACAAGCTATTTCCCACCCTTAGAAGCAAAAACACAAGTGTTTGGTGCAAAACCAAACACAAAGCAGTCGAGTCGAAAGATCCTAAGGCAAGGCGCGTAGCTGAGACCTTCGGGAACTCAAGACGAACACAAACATGGATAATCACCGAGTGTTCAAACGGTGACGTCCAAGTCTTGAGGACGGTCAAAAATGGGGTGTCTACATCTAGTAGTGTTTGTTTCTAGATTGGGGTGTACTGTGTGACATCCCTGTTCTGTATTGTGCTAATTGGACCTTAAGCTGTTTATGGTTATGTGTTTAGCATGGTTTTGTATGCCATTATGTGAAAATATGTGGTTTTGAATTTCTATCTGTTCACCGTAGGAATATCTGTTCGATTATCTACTTTGGAATTTAAATTGAAGGCCCTATCGGCCGCGGAACCCGAAATTGATTATACCATAGTGATTGGCATAATTTTTAGAGCCTACAGTGAAATTTAATTGAAAATTAATTCGGATTGGATTAATTAGATTAAATTAGTGGTGTAGTGCTCAAATTATTTAATATTAATAATTGTGATTAGTGGAACTTATGTAAAGAGGGGCACTATACACTCAATCCTTTTACTTGAGCTCAAAATCAGATTTTGGTGCCTTAGAAAGAGAGAGGGTCGACTAAAGAAGAGAGAGGGTGAAGGAAATGAAAGATTTGAGCTAGAAACTTGAGTAAATTGAAGACTAACTCAAGATTTGGCCATAAATTGGGAAGATTGGGCTTAGACCTTCCCTGATCGTACCCAAGCTCCTGAGTCGAATAAACACCGGTGATGACGGACATGTGGCCTTCGGCACCGAGTCAGGGTTTCCTAAATTTCCCCATTTTAAAATATTTAGGTGGCGACTCTGTATCTGGCAAAGCAGTCCATGTTTGGCACTACTTTTTCAAAAATCTGTTTCTCAAAACGATTTGCCAGATTTGGACTCTTTGGTTCAGACTTAGAACCGTGACACAAATCGAGTCCGAGCTGTAGCGAGGTCCCCCGCGGACTTGTTACATGAGGCACCTTGGACGACGTGTTTGTAAGGTGGCATGCACAGAGGCGACACAACCTAATAGCAAGTGTCAGGTACGAATCAATAAGGAAGGGATGTGTGGAGGAAACGGTTGGGAAGACTGTGCGTAACAGCTCATGCAGGAAGACTGTGTGTGACAGCTCATGCACAGTCAAAACTCTTGGCATTCTTAATTAATGAAGCAAAAACCTCAGTTAGAGAAGCGATCTCAGTTGAGATGCATAAAGAACTTGATCCTTGATAAAGTGGACAATTGAGTCCTAGTTATATGAAGCTGACGAGTCATGATCTCAGTCGGAGAGATAAATGAATTCTCAGCCGACATGAAATGTGGACACGCGGTATAGGTTCCATCACCTCAAGTGACCAAGGTAATAGAACCTAGGGGGCAATTGTGGAGAAGTATTTTGTGAATGACAGCACGTGACTAAGGTGACGCCAAAGTGTCAGCC